GAGAGGTGACTTCTAGGTAGGAAAAAGGATAAAGAAAAGCATGTGGTTGATAAAATGTTTAGCCTTATTGGTCTCATAGAGAGGCAAGAGGAGAAAAGAGGACACTTCAGGTAAGAACAAATAGGCAGAGACATGGAACAGAGAAGTACGCTTATTATGGGCTACACACTATAGAAGACGCATTTAAAATGTTCTTGTTGGAGCCATTCAGTAGCCTTCCACAGAGAAGGTAGCTGGGGAGCTCATCTCAGAAAGGTTAAGTTTTTCCAGGGGCACCTAACTGGTGAAATAATAGTGGGTCAAGTGTCAGTAATCTGTGGTCATACTCTTAGCACTAAATATTGGCTTACAAATAACTAGCAATATGTATTGGATTCCAAATAACTAGCAATATGTGTTAAGAGTTATGAAAATTTAATTAGGGAAAAGTAAGTTGGAACCATGTTACTGAGATCTCAAGTAGAAGGTTAAGGAATTTGGGACTTTATCTGGTGGGCAGTGGAAGTCACTAAAGGTTTTTGAGCTACAGTAATTGTGAAACTAATTCAGTAAGATTATTCCAGTAGCACCCAGTAAAATAAATGTCAGTGGGAGATGTTTCAGGTAGCAAGACTATTAAGACAACTCCTGTTAATGAGGAAAAAGAATTTGAATGTGAACAAAAAGTTAGCATTAGAAATAGACTAAAGAGGGTCTGGAGTTGTGGCTCAGCACTAGAATGCTCGCCTAGCATGTGTGAGGCACTGGGTTCTCTCCTCAGAACCACATAAAAATAAAGAAAAAAAAGTTTATTTAAAAAAAAATAGACTAAAGGAATTTGAGGGAAATTATGAAAGTATAACTGGCAAATGATTGGGTATTTGGTAAATGCCCATAAGGGAGAGGGGAGTAATTGAATCAAAATTACTGCCAGCAGGTGGTTTTTGGAGTGTGAGTGAAGGAGAGATCAAAATATTTGTTTTTTCATTTCCCTAAATACGATTCCTCAGCAACAGATAATTGATGTCAACAGTTCTGTTCCCTTGTCCATCTTCTATAGCTCCTGGTCTTTTCTGGCTTGTGATAACCACCATCTCCTATTCTATATCAGGCTTCCTAACCCTAAGATAGTTTGCCAGATCTTGTTGATTTCCCTTAATCTGTGCTGACACCCTTGTAAGTAGTACCTTTTATGAAAACTTCAGTAACTATTAGAGTGCATCATCATTTGTTATCTCTTCAGTGAAATTTGTTTAATCCCCTCCGTATTTTCTAATGACTTGATCGTCTACATATCACCACACTTGGAAAAGACATGGTTTTCACTATCCCTACGTGTCAGGAGTTTCCCCTCCATTTCTGAAATGCAGTGAATTTTACCATCTGGTAAAATTTATTATTCTTCTGCTTGATGATTCTAGTGATAATACAGCAGAGAACAAAAGAGACAAAAATCCATGCCCTCATAGAGCTTATATTTAGTGGGGAGAGACAATACAACAATAAATTATATGATAAAAGATGAGTGGTATGGAAAAAATTGAGGGGTTGGGAGTACTGCAAGGCAGGATGTGCTGTGAGGATTGTGCAATTTAAAATGGGTGGTATGGGTAGGTTTCTGAGAAAGCAGCATTAGAGCAAGGAGTTGAAGGAAATGGAGTGATATAGATATAAAGATATTTAGAAGAACATTATTCCAGGTAAAGGATTTGGAGAGCAAAAATTGGGAGGCAGGATTGCCCCTGGTCTCTGAAGAAAAACAACTTATTCAGGGTGGCTGTTGCTAAGGAAAGAGAAGGAAAGCAGTAGTTTTTGAGGTATCTGGGTACTTCGTATACAGTCCTACTGTGTGCACTTTTCGTATCACTGTAATAAACTTTAGCTGTGGGTATAATAATTAGCAGTGTGGAGTTCTGTAAGTCCTAACAAATCTCTGAACATGTGATCTTAAGGATTCCTGACACAGGTATCTTTTTTTTTTTTTTTTTTAACTGTAACCGAATTACTTGGAAAACATCAGGTTATAGATAAAAATTGCCGTTTAAGCAACTTATCACGTAAATCTGCCAACTGTCTAGTGGAGAGTTCCTCTGAGCTATTTCTCTTTTGTTAATTCCTTTCTCTAAAAACTTCCCTTTGATTGGTTCTAGTCACGTTTTTGTACTTTAGTAAAATTAAATTTTGTACTTTATTTATTGAAATTGCCAACAGTAACTTATCAGAGTGGGAAAAGTGTTGAACAAGGAGGGTCATCTAAAATACAGATTTATTTAGTAAAAACTTAATTAAGAATTTATGTTTTTTTGGCTCTGGGACTCTATTATTAGGAATTTAACCTAAGAAAACAATTCAATTGAGAGGAAAAAAGTCCTTGCATAAAAATGATCATTATAATGTTGCAAAAAGTCAGAAACCATATAAATGTCAAACATTTGGAAAACAGTAAAATCTAAATTGTGCTCTGTGAGAAGGTGAAATACTAACCCAATGTCTATCAACAGGTGAATGGGTAAACAAAATATGGTGTGCATGTACAATGGAATATTATTCAGCCATAAGAAGGAATCAAGTTCTGGTATGTGCTATAATGTGGATAAACATTAAAACAAGATTTACTAAGCAAATTAAGGCAGACCAAAAGGACAAATATTTAGTGAAAGATTGCAGTCATATGAGATAGCTAAGACAGGCAGATTTATAGAGATAGAAAATAGAATAAGGCTAGGGATGTAGCTTAGAGGTAGAGGGCTTGTCTAGTGAAGCCCTGGGTTCAATCTCCAGTATTGCAAAAAACAAAAACAAAAACAAAACAGTTGAATAGAGGTTAGCAGGAGCCAGGAGGAGGCAACAAGGAGTTACTGTTGAATGAGTATACAGCTTCTTGGGATGATGAAGTAGTTGTGGAAGTGGGAATAGGAAGTGGCATGGTTGTACAACATTGTAAATATATTTAATCTAGTAATATGAAGATACTGAATCAACGACATGAACGTTTAAAAGTGGTTAAAATTGCAAGTTTTAATATGAATTTTACCATGATAAAATTGTAACCTAATATTAATGTAATATGTAAGTATATTAGAGTAGTGGGATTAAAAATTACATCTTTAAAATAAAAACATTTAAAATAATATCATGGGGAATTGAAATTACCTAATTGCAATTATTTAGAATTACAAATGCCCTTTTAAAAATGCCACAGAAAAGCAAGTGCAGTGGCGTGCATCTGTAATCACAGTGACTTAGAAGGCTGAGGCAGAAGGATAGAGTTCAAGTCCAGCTTGAGCAATTTAGCAAAACCCTGTCTTGAAATAAAAATAAATAAATAGGGCTGTGGTTGTAGCTCAGTGGCAAAGCGCTTGCCTAGCACTTGTGACGCACTGGATTTGATCCTCAGTGCCACATAAAAATAAATAAAGATATTGTGTCCACCTACAACTAAAAACAAAATTTTAAATAAATAAATAAATAGGGCTTGTGGTGTAGCTTGGTAGAGGGTTTCTGGATTTGTCCCCTAATACTGGGCCAAAAAGAGCCACAGAATAATTTATTAAGTTCTCAGCTTTAGTTCTATTCCTCATATCTTCTTCCTCTTTTCCCCAAACTGAAAATTGTCTCCTACTGAGTTCCCTTAGTACCTTTTTTGCACTTCTCTTGAGTCTTATTTTTCACCATTATGTATGTCTGAAATTTTCTCAAATAGTTCTTTGGCATTATATTCATATGGGATTTATGTCGTGACTTCCTGGTGCAGCATAGAGAGAGAAGAGATATTCAGTGAGAACTTTTTGACTGAATTATAAACATGTATGAAGGTAGAGATTTATCAGTTTTTTTTTTTTTTTGCATATTTGCACATGGGTTTTTCCTTATTTTAAGCATGCGCCTACTCTGTACCTGCTAGATATGCAGATCTGACCCTCACCAGCATACACATCACTACATTGACTTTGGGGCTATGTGTCATTTCTATTTTGCTTTCTTTATATAAAACAGTCCTGTTTTCTTTGTACCCAGAGAAAGGAACTGGAGAAGTGAGGCAAGGGCAGCAGATAAGAGAATCAAGACAGTTGGTTTAAACTAGCATGTACCTGTGTAAAAGTCATAAGAAAGAATGCTCATTCTTCAGTAGAATGAGAAGGAAATGAATTTTTTACCCACCTAAACCTTCCTAAACCACTGGTGTAAAATTGTTTCATTTTTGTTATGGAGAGATGTACACTTTTACCAGCAGAGGGCATCAGTTGCAGATTTGGGAGAAGAAGGAATTCTCAGGAAGACTCAGACTGCAATGTACTACTGGTATGTGTGAAGCCCCTTCTTGTTGCTATGTTTGGCCTGACTTTTGACTCTCCTGAGGTCCAGTGGTTCTCCTGTAGTTCTCCCCAAGAGGAGTCTTTTGCTAGATCTGACTGGTAAGCTAGATGAACAGAGACCAATTTTTCTTTTTCTTTTTCTTTTTCCTTCCTTCCTTCCTTCCTTCCTTCCTCCCTCCCTCCCTCCCTCCCTTCCTTCCTTCCTTCCTTCTAATACTAGGTGTTTAGAAGCCTCCAGTGCCAGCTTCTATGTAATATTTTTAGGGGTTCAAATGCTGTTGTTCCTCTAGAGGTGACATGGAAAGGGCATTAGGAGAGGTCTTGACTCACACCTAGCTTTGGCCTTCTGAGTTGACAGTTGTCTCTGTCTCAATTGGCTTCTCTCTAAAATAAAGGTAATAAGATAGGGATAGAGCCTGCCCTGTACAATAACAAATAGTTGCCTGTGGGGTTTGGCAGACCTGGGTTCAAATTCCAGCTCTGTCATTTACTACCTATGGGCCTTGGTCAAGTTATTTAACTCTCAGAACCTCAGTTCTCTCACATATCCTGCATAAGGTTAAGAAGTCAATAAGAGTGATACATGTGAACTTCAGAGTTCAGGGTCTAGCCCAGAGTAAAAATTCAAGAAATAGGAGTTATTATTCAGGGGAATGTTATCTTGAGTCAGAGGAAATTATGGACATGGAGAATTTGTAAGATTAAGTGCTCGCTTCAGCAGCATATGTAGTAAAATTGAAATGATACACAGAGAAGATTAGCATGGTTCCTGCTCAAGGATGACGTGCAAATTTGTGAAGCGTTCTATATTAAAGAAAAAGAAAAAGATTTGTAAGCTAAAAGTGCAACATAAACATCATGGGTGATTTTATTTTAGTTTTTGGTTCCAGGGATTGAACTTGGGAGCACTCAACCACTGAGCCACATCCCCAGCCCTATTTTGTATTTTATCAGAGACAGATTCTCACTGAATTGCTATGCGCCTCAACATTGCTGAGGCTGTCTTTGAACTTGTGGCCCTCCTGTTTCAGCCTTCTAAAGTACTGGGGTCACAGGCCTGCACCATTGTGCCTGGCATGATTTTATTTTTGAATCTTTTCAGGACATGGATTCTTTTTTTAATGGGGAGGGTACTAGGAATTGAACTCCTGGGTACTCAACTATTGAGCCATATCCCCAATCCTATTTTTGTATTTTACTTAGAGACAGGGTCTCACTGAGTTGCTTAGTGCCTTGCCATTGCTCAGGCTGGCTGTGAACCTGCGATCCTCCTGTCTCAGCCTCCCAAGCCGCTGGGATTACAAGTGTTTGCCACCTTGCCTGGCAGGACATGGATTCTTACACCCTCAGAGGACTAGTCCTGAGGAAAGCCAAGCATTCTTCTGGATAAGATGCTGTTCTGTTTACCTTTTAACATTTTGGGGCCTGAAGTTCCTTTTTCAGCTTTTGCCTGGCTTTTTTGGGGGGTACTCTAAGCAGTTGTAGGGAGAGCCTATTCAGCAAGTAGTCCAGAATCTGAGGGGAAGTTTTGGTGGTTAAAGGTGTGGGTGGGCCTTAATTTAGCTTTGGTCTTTTCTAGTCCTTGCTGATCTCTAGGTAATAGTGACCATTAGAGATGTTAACATGGCTCCAGTGTAGCCCCTATCCTGGCCAAGTTTTTGCTTGATTCCAGGACCCAGAGCTCATAGAGGCATACTTTGGTAGCACTGGCATAGACAATGAAATAGTAGCTGCTAATGGTTACTGAGTGCTTATTACAGGCCCAGTTGTCTGCCAAACGCTTTGTATACTTTCACATTTAAACCTTAACAACCCTGGGAGGTGTTATTATTGTTATTAATTTTTTATGATGAAATTAAGGCTTATAAAGTAACTTGCTTAGGGTCATGATTCTAGTAAGTACATTTGGACCCTGTACTATCTAACAGTCTAGTTTTTTTTCATTGTTCTAAGTAGTCTTTGCTCTAGCTGTGCATCATAGCCACTGAGGAAACTCATTAAAATTCCTGCTCCTGTGCTCTGATTCTATAGTGTGAGGTCAACCTGACCCTCCAGTGTTTTGTTTTGTTTTTCCAAATTTATTGAGGTAAAATTTACATAAAATAAAATACAGCCATGTATAGTTTGAAAACCATAGTAGTTGTATACAGTCTAATTATTATTATTTTAAAAAATTGTTTTTAGTTGTAGTTGGACACAATATTTTATTTGTTTTTATGTGGTGCTGAGGATCAAACCCAGCACCTCACACATGCTAGGCAAGCACTCTATCGCTGAGCCACAACCCCAGCCCTTATACAGTCTAATTATTAAGACAATCAAGATATGGAACATTTTCATAACCCTAAAAAGTTTCTTTTGATCCCATGATGCCTACCCTTTATTTTTAAAATTTTATTAATTTTTTTTTAATGTACTAGGGATTGAACCCAAAATGTCTATACTTCTATCTAGATGAGCTGATGTTTCTGATGCACAGATGGATATAGGACCACTGTACTGTGTTATGGGGACTGCAAATACGAGGATTTCAAGTCCTGGGAAAGGTAGATAAAAGTGGGGGGAAAAAAAAAAGAAAAAGGCAATTAAAAGGAAGAGTGATTGGTCTAGCTGTCTCTTGATGAACTATCTGTATACCGGTATAGCATACAGATGGAGTATGGAAGAGAGAACTTTCCAGACCAAACCTGGCTTAAAAGTTTTTTCTTCTATCAATATGATTTTTTCCCAAGCAACACTTGAGCTTAAAGATTTTAAACACAGTTGATGTACAGGGGGAGATAAATCACTTTGGGGGTGGAGATCTGGGGTCACTAACTATATTTGGCAAACTGTGAAGCCTGGAAGGAACTTTGGGCTTAGATACTGCTGGGCAGTCCAAGGATGGGCCTTCTCCAGGCAGACATTACTTTGGTTCCTTTGACTTTCTTCTGTAAGAATTCAACAGCAATACTCCTTAATCTAAAGACTAGTCAGAAAAATTAGCCTAGAGGCAATAGATTCAGGCTTTGTCCCAGAGAACGTTTGGGTAATCAGGTAGAAAATGTGAAACCAGAGAGGATTTACAACAGGAGTCCAGAGATTTATGTAAGGAGTCCAGAGACTTTTGATTCTGTACTTGGTTTTGCTAGATGATCTTTCTTTCTAGATGGCTTTCTCTGATTGTTCTCTGGATAGTGAGTGGTGAATAAAGTGTTCAATGGGTAGGTAGCAATACGATTTTTACACACATTATAGTGATTTTGTTTAGCATGGCAAAAGTAGATTGCAAAGGAAATTCTGTAGGATCTTTACACTGGCTCTTAAAAGTTGTATTTTAAAACCTGAATATGCTCAGCCCTTAAGTATTTCCTTTTCTGAACTTTTTTCTTTATCTGGTTTGTTAGATGTGGCATTTCCTCTCTTTCCTGTATGATGAAGATGTGAATGAGGGTATGTACAAAGGACAAGTCATCTCATTCTTATGTTCCTCTTATGAATCATCCAGTTGTTTTCCTGGTGGATGCCTGTGCTCTGGCACGGATTCTGGGATTCAGTTTCCTTGTTTGTGATGTTCAGCTTTTTGTGGTCCCTGTGATTGACCTCAAGAGGAAACATGGAGCAGAGCTACAAGGCTGATTAGAGGAGGAAGGGGCATAAAGGGACATAAAGGGAGAAAGATATGAGGGGTATTGTGGAAAGAAAACATGAAGCTACAGTGCTATAGAGTGTAGATAAGATACCCGGGCCTCTTCTCACTTGAGTGAGTTGGGGGATGGCCCCATCTAAGAGGACACAGATATCAAGGGGGTTAGTCTTGGAGAATAACATCCTAGCTGGTTTGAGTTCAGGAGGCTGTGTAGAGTTTAAGTGGTTTTTTTTGCTTTGTTTTGTTTTTAAGTCTTTGTCAACTCAACTCAATGTTCTTCCCTCCATTCTGTGATTTCAGATCTTTGTAACAGTGAAAATCAGAATAAGAATAATAGATGTACTGAGCATCTCTCTTGCTTTTACATGCATCATGCTATATCTTCCCTGAAGCTCCCTACAAAACTCGAGTCCATTAAATATTTTTCAAATAATCACACAGATTACACTGAGAAGAAAAATGGGATGTTAAAAACCTTTAGAATGAAGTGATTTTAGAGCTAAAAGGGCATTAGAGACTGGTGTGATCCCTTGTTTGAACAAGGAACTGAGCATGGGGTCCAGATCTGGAGATTAGAGGACATAAGAGATTTAGTGGAAGACTTGCTAGTTTGAGCCACAAGTTAAATAAATTTCAGTATAACAGACTTTAGGAAGATGTTTTAGGGTTGTACTGTGAAACTGGTGGTCTTTCAGCATGGCCTAGGGCAATAAGCCTGTGTAATATTCATTGTGGTGGCTTTGCTGCAATAGCCTTTGGCAGTAAAATAGGGTTTGTTTCATTTTCACCTATTTCTACCACCTCTCTTTTTCTAATTTCTATGTTCTTTTCCTCTTGTGTTCTTTTCAGTTCTATCAAGTTCTTTCCCCCTATTTCTCTCCATCTGTCAGACTCAGGGCTACTGTAGATTTTGGGAGGAGGAATTGGAACCTGAACTGTAACCCACAGTGAATTTCCCCAGGTGGATAAACTCCACTGCAGTCCACAGAGGGGCCTCCTCATTCCAGCAATCTGGCTAGGCTGACAGACTCATAGGCTATGAGGAGGGGTAGGGGAAGGAGGGGTCAGTATTTCTTGGGCTAGTGAAGAACTGCTGGATCCTTTGCAGCATAGGCAGAGGAGGCAGGAGCCCCTGAGTGGGCTAGCTGCTTGAGCTGGGGATGCCTGGGCAGATGCAGAAGCAGCTGGAAAGGTGGCACTGCACTTGGTCGCAGAAGCTGCCGCTGTTCCTAGGAGACAGAGAAGCAGCAAGCCTGCGGGGGGAGGGGGAGCAAGTGGGTTGCTGCTTTTAGCAGCTGAAAGGACTGCAGGGAGCTCTGGGTAAGACATTTTCTACTGCTGTTGCTTCTGCGGTAGAAACTGCCGCGAGTAAGTCAGAGGAAGGAGGATCTAGAGGGAGGAGGCTTCAGTTGCAGCCATGCTGAATCACTGTTGCTGATCAGATCTCCCGCTGGGCTGCTGGGAGAACCGGGAACAGAGCTAGGATCGCCGGGTATACGCACTGTTCAGCAGCTACCACCCCTGCTGGGCCTCGCACAATGGAGGGTGAAAGGTATGTATGTATAAGTGCCTGTTTTGTGTGTGTAAGTAAATGTATGCTTGTGATATAGCCACTAGCTTTTGTGTTTGCATTGGTTAGGCGGGGTTGGAAAACCTGGCCACTGATGGATCCCAAAGGGCTTCAGAGCAGGGAAGCCCCTTTCTAAACCCACCCCTTACAGAAGCTCCAGAGATGGGATTCCGCAAAGGCAGATCTGGGTTTGCTGGGCACAGGAAAAGAAGGGACTTCCTGGCTGGTGTTGAGGAATAGTTTCAGCACTGGGCTGAATCAGGATTACCTTTCTAAGGCTGTTTCAAGGAGGCGTTTCCGTTTCTTGGCGTCTTTCCCGGGGTGTTTCTTTGGTGGGGGGTTTTGATGTCATAGCAGGGCTGGCCTGGCATAGAGCAGTTGGATTTTTTTATACTCAAGTGCCCAAATCTTCAGGAAGTATGCAGTGCTGATCTCTTTCCTAAAAAATATGTGTGTGTGTGTGTTTTCAAGGATGGAGAGAAACTCAGTCAGATGACACTTTAGTATTTGGAAGGCAGATAACTGTGGATTTAACCCAGGGGCAATTTACTACTGAGTTAAATCCTCAGCCTTTTTTTAAAAAAAAAATTTTTTTGAGACAGGGTCTCACTAAGTT